CTAAGCAAACCTAAAAGGAAGGATTTTCTTTCTTTTTCCAATTAAATAATTATTAAATAATATTTGTATTATTAAAATTAGCAATTAAGTTCTGAAAATTCCAAATAGCGTAACTAATCATGGAGAGTTTAATAAAATTAAATTTAACAATGTCATTTTATTTCTCGCACTTGCTTTACTTGTAAATTTATTTAATTATACACATACCTACTTAAAAATACCAAATATTTCAGTGAATTTGTGTTTTAATTAATTTGCATATTTTTACTGATCTGTGCGCTTCCCAGTGCAACGCACGGGCACTTTTGCTAAACCAAACAACAATTTTGGTCAATATACACACTCCGTAATCACCCGGTGCAACGCACGGGCACTTTTGCTAGTAAAAATAAAAATCAGAGCCGCGCGGCGTAGTCGGTAAATACTCGTCTTCTATCCGGTTTCCACTCGCCGCCGCCGCCGCCCCTCTCGCTGGACGCCGCCGGCGGACGATGGCGCTGGCGTCCAGCTCGCTGCCGGATCTCCGGATATACGAGCCATGCTGTGTTGGTGGGTACCCGTCGCCCGATGAAAAATCTGCTTGCAAATCGCATTTGCTGCGCAAGATCGAGGCCTTCTACCCAAAGGCGTTCCAGCGGATCAGCCACCACCACGCCGCCGCCGCCTCTGCTTAGGCCTCCTCGGGTTGGTCTCCAACATCGTCATCAACACTCTCACCCCCTCCTCCTCCGCGATGCCCGATCCCCAGGCGACCACGCAGGAGCTTGCGGCGCGGCCGCTCGACGGCATGAAGGCCTTCCTCGTCCGCTTGTTCCCCGACTTGAGGGAGTGGTAGGCCGTGCGCTACCTGTTCGTCGCCGGCGCCGACCTCCTCGTCGCCGCCACCGCGGTCCCGGCGGACATGGGCATGAAGAAGAGGAGGAGATTACTCGGGGACGACGACGACGACTTCGCCCTCAACGAAGGCCTCTACATGGCGCTCGAGTGCGGAGCTCTCACCGCTGGCCACCCCGACGCCGACCGCCTCGTCCGCGCCTGGCTCGCCGTATCCCGCCGCCGCCATGCACTCGTCCGCAGGCTCGTCGGGCTGCTTGAAGACTCATACGGCGATGGCAGTGATGGAGACGGCTCGTCGTGGCCGTGGAACCGCGCGGCTCATCGTCACTGTCCTCTCGGTGTCGAGAAAAGAAGGAGAGTCAAATCACTCCTAATCCTGGTCTCCTGGGAAATCTGGAAGGAGAGGAATAGCCGAGTGTTTCAAAGCATCGAGACAACACCATGCGGAATCATCGATCGGGCGACTGAGGAAATCTGGCTCTGGCGAGCTGGCGGGGCAGAGAGCATTCAATCTTTAATGCCAGATGACCGTGGTAGCACAACAAATAATCTGTAGTTAATTTTTTTTTGCCTCTCCACACGTTCTTCTAGTGGACGCTCCCCCGTCCCCCGCCCCCAACTCTCTTCCTTTTTTTTTCCTTTGTAAGTCCTAGCCTTTTGGCTATTGTACAGTGTTTCCCCCTTATTTAATACAAATACACCTCGTTGGGGTTTAAAAAAAAGATTTCCACCAAGCCATGCGCCGCATCCTCCAAGCGGATGCCCACCTTCTCTCGGCAGATTCCAGCATCAATTCTTGCGCCGCTACCACCATCCGCCAAGGCTTCTTGGCTGCAGCCACAGCTGCCTATCACCCCGACCCAACTGCTCAAGCAAGCTTCCTCGCATCCTGCAAGTCGATGATTGGATCATCGTCTGATTTGGCACGACGTCTGCAGAGCGGTAATAACCAGCTCTCCTCGCAAGATGTTGAGTGAATTGCGATGTTGGTATGTCCTGGATCATCCCGTAGTTGTGAAGAGCCACTCCCTTCACTCTCCTTTGCTAGGTACTACTCCCTCCGTCCTAAAAAATATCAATTCCTATAATCCCATAAAAAAATAGTGGAGAGTAAAAATGACCAAAATACCCCTCATTATTAGAAAAAGTAGTGATAGTGATAGATAGGTAAAGGGTATTTAAGGGATAAAACTTCTTTGTTTTATGTGCTGAGAGTATGTAGAGTGGTAGAAGTTGATTTTTTGTGGGGACAAAATTCAAACTCTAAGTCTTCTGAGGACGGAGGGAGTATTACTATTTTGGAGAGCTCACACGCACTCGTGCAATGATGTGCTGAATGCATACGAGCAGACGGTGCCTGGGTATGTAAGGTTTTTTCATTGTTTTTTGTTGGTTGCTGATAATCTCTAATGTTGCTTACCAAACTGTATTTTGTCTAATTTTTACAGGTCTTGGAGCTCTATCTAATATGTGGTGTCAATAACGAGGAGTGCCCATACTGTTTCGAAGGTCTCTATGGTCATCATTACCAATAATCGCACCCACCTCAACTTTCTAGCGACTCATGATAGAGCCATGGTTTTTTTTTTTTGCTAAAATTCATAATGATGACAATGGTGCATCCTTTTGTTGCCCGGTGTCTCTGCCGACACCATGCACTGGTAAGCTATCGACTTGAAAAGTAATTTTTCCATTGTTAAAAAAAAGCACCAGAAGATAATATATTTTAACTCTCTGAATTTAATTTTATAAGTAGCATAAAATTTCTCATGTACTTGCAGCCCCTCCCCCAATCAAAAAAAGTCTTAAACCACATGGTTCAATGTTGTTGTACAGCAATAAGTTAATGCAATTTTTTTTATGTGTTGACAGGACGAATCAGATGTCTTTACTATGATTATATGGGCATTAGAATTGTGCATCTCAGTAAGGAGAACTTTTGTGGGCGCGAGATGGAGTTGGAGAAGATGACTTGCGGAGAAGACTCCCGCAATGATCACGATCGATCATTCCGTTTTGATGAGCCAATTAATTCTACACTTATTGCAATATCAATGGCTATAGCCGTCTGATGGCACATAATGTTTGTGGCAGTGCAGAAGGAGATTGCTTTTATAATAGTGATAGAGATCTGAGTGATAGTTTCATGAGTGACATAGATATGAGTTCTGAGATACAAGGTTCCATGACTGATGCCATGTTGTTTGATCGTTTAGCATACGGCACGCTTCCTAGTTACAATATATATATATATATATATATATATATATATATATATATATATATATATATATATATATATATATATATATATATATATCACTCAAAAATAAACTACATGATAAAACTGGTGTGCTCACTAATTTAAAATATGTATATACTTCTTTTCTTATTTGAAATTTTATACTTTTCATAAAATATTATAGAAAGAAAATTGTGAACCACTATTTTAGTATTGACAAATGAATATATGATATTAAAAAACATTTATGGATGTATGTATAAATGATTTATTTATTATGTATAGAAGTGAAAAACATATTTGTTATATAAAATTTAGAACTTGTATGTCATGTGAAGCAAAAATACTAAAATTTAATGTGTCATTTTATACATAAATTTTAATGAAATCCAAACAAATAAAATAAATTTTGAGATTCATCAAAATTAATTGGTTCAAATATATTTGCTTGTGGATTTTAATTTTTTAAAGATTAATCATTTAATATATTCAGAGTTTTTTAAACATATCCCATACAACAAAAAAACACAATCATTTTTTTAGCTGAGGAGATATTAATGATCTTATTTCGTGATAGATGAAATCAAGATTGTTTTCTTTATTTATTTGTTTTGGATTTTTTTTTGCATAATAATTTTGGGTTTACTATATATTCTATATATAGAGTTATATGAGTAGGCGTAGGATATTTAAAGAAAGATAATGGATGCAAATTCGTTGTTTTAGATTTGTTTTTTTCCCTAATAGTTTTGGGTTTCCCTCTGTCTCCCCGAGGGGTCGGACCGCTCCCGTTTCGGCCCCGAGGGCTGGGGCGCCCCCGTTTCGGCCCCGAGGGCTGGGGCGCCCCGACCCCCTGTGGTTTTGGCGCCACGCGTGTGGGTTAGGTGAGCACAGCGGGGCTCACCTAACCGCATTTATAGCAGGATTGGACGAGCGCGCCACGCCGCATTTAATGCGGCGCAGCGCACGCTTATCCGGTCCGCGACTGGTCGCGGTGTGTGACCGGTCACAGACCGGTCAGATCGCGGGTTAGGTGGCAACAGGCGGCCTGTCACACGCCTCGCCCCGTCCCGTCGGAATGATGAGAGCTTCCTGGCTCTCGTCCCTAGCCGGAGCCGGCGTGCTAACTCCTGGAGTTGGTATGTCAGTCCCGGTCAGATCCATTCCAGGCTTCAGCGTAGGTATGGCAAGGAAGTCGCTGGCCATTAAATGAAGGTTGAAATGGGCGTCCACCGGAAAAGCGGGCAAGCGGGGCAGGAGACGTGCGCTCTGCTTGTCAAAGGTCACTTCCGGCTGTAGACTAGCCCTCATTGTAAAAAGCATGTTTCCCTTCTTAGGCAGCTAGAGGCCCATGTGGTAACCCCTGACCAGATAAAAAGGAGGCCCAGGCCTAGAAAAAAAGAAAAAAAGAGGAAAGGAGGGGGGTTTGGGACTCTGGCGAATGGTTTCTAGAGCCTGAACTCTCTTTCGCTCTCGGCCTCTCTGATTCCTTCACGCACAGATCCACCAGAACACAGGAGTAGGGTGTTACGCTTCTCAGCGGCCCGAACCTGTCTACGTCGCCCGTGTCTTGCGCATTTCCTCTCTCGCTGACGTTCCTCAGATCGAGGGCGAAGAACCTCACTTAGCGCCCCCGGCCGAACCGGCAAAGGGGGGCCTGCGCGGTCTCCCGGTGAGGAGCCCCCACGCTCCGTCACGTGTAATTAGCTGTGAGACACTGCAAAATCGTGACGCTGTTCATGGACACTACGAAAGTTGTGAAATTGGTTGTAGAACACTGGAGGCAATATTTTATAATTTCCGAGACAAAAGAGGTCAGAGAAATTTCTAAAAGACCTGATTGCCCCTAGGCGCCGTAGCTTGTAAACCCAACTGGGTCTAGTCATCGTGTCCATCTCCCCCACCCGATTTCCCCATTCCTCCCCAATCCCTAACCCTAGTTGATAGTGGCGGCAGCGCCGGCGCCAACGGCGGCAGATACGACGCTGGCAATGGCGGTGACGGCAGCGACCTCAATGGTGCAAGCTTGGTCGAAGCAGATGCAGCAGAGCTCCATGTCGCTCACCTGTGCCCAAATGATCAACACAGAAAACTAAATTACACAATGTGTTTATGGGAGCCCAATCCAACCGATAACACTGAAATTGTTCAGCACTCAAATACCTCTGAGCATGCATCGTCATCGGCACTGTCATCACCAGGCAAAGGGGATGGCAGGGAGTACTTTGTGCCATTCAGGATTTTCTTCTCCCTCTCCCTGTTGGCTTCCATCAGAGCTGCTTCCAGGAGAGCCTTAGCTTCTGGTTCAAGCTCACCGATGAACTTAAGTGGGGATGGGCACACCATGGGCTCTGCTGATGTAGGGTTCAGTGGCAGAGTATGGGCAATTCAGCAAAATGACAGGTCAAGTCTGAGAAGAACAGCAAACTCCTGTGAATTCGCAAAATGTGTTGATCATTTGGGCACAGGTGAGCGACATGGAACTCTGCTGCATCTGCTTCGACCAGACTTGCACCATTGAGGTTGTCGCCGTCGCTCGCCGTCCTCACCGCTGGCGCCGGCGCCGAATCTGACGCCGCCGCCACCGTCGACTAGGGTTAGAGATTGGGGAGGAATGGGAAGTCGGGTGGGGGAGATGGACATGATGCCGACTGGGTCTGGTCTACAAGCTGCAGCGTCCAGGGGCAATATGGTCCTTTAGTAATTTCTCTGACCTCTTTTGTCTCGGAAATTATAAAATATTGGCTCTGGTGTCCTACAGCCAATTTCACAACTTTCGTAGTGTTCATGAGTAGTGTCATGATTTTGCAGTGTCTCACAGCTAATTAGTAGCAAATTTTGCCATTTATGTATGTATCTACCATGTTTCTTGATTAAGGGTGTGTTTGGTTACAAGCCACACTTTGCCACAGTTTGCCACGCCTAAGGTTAGGCAAATTTGACAGGTGTTTGGTTGTAGCCACAGTTGTGGCAAGATTCCCCTCCAACAAATTGGGTCCCACGTGTCAATGGCTCAAAAAAGTGTGGCAAGATTTCCTTAAGCTTAGTAAGTTGTGGCTAACAATTTGATCACCTCACCTTAGGCAAGGTGTGGTAACTTTTGTTGGCAAGTAATGGTAAAATGTGGCTGGGAACCAAACAGCCCCAAAATCCTGCACTTTAGCCGGTAAAACTTCCTTATAAACTGCTACTGGTTTATATTTCAAAGCTGGAATACTATTGTTGAACTGATACGATATGACTGATAATACCGAATCCAGGCAGAATGAGAATGTACACCTCTGGATGACCGAAGAACCAAAAGATATGCTAGTATAATATTGGGTCTTCCCCTCCTGCAGGATAAAAAAAGGCTGTATTAAAGTTTCAATCGGTTGATAACATTGTAATGGCCCCCGCCAATACCGGAAGTGATAATAAAAGTAGGGTTAATTAGATCCATGCCATTATAAATTTGGTGGTTTTAAGATACACCATTACTATTCATCTATTTATAGCAATACCATTACAATTTTATAAATATTAGAGATATGCCACTAAATACCCTTTCACCATATTTTATAAAAATTTTAGACCAAAATACCTATGCCTTCTTTCTTCCTCCTCTGTCTTCTATTCCAGCCAACTTACACAAGCTCATGAAGAGCTGCAGCAGGCTGAGGGCTGCCGCCGCTGCCGGCAGAGCTGGAAGGGAGCACGCCACCGGGACTTGCTACCCAGCCACCGGATCAAGTAGCAAAAGCTACGGAGCACGCCGCCGGGGGTCTCGCCGTTTGGCCGCTGTCGCCACTGCATCGGATTCCTCCATACATGCGAAGAGGGTGGCACGGGGACGACGGTGCTCGCCGGCGGCGTGAATATCCTCTCTCTCTCTCTCTCTCCTCGGCTTACAACTCGGCTCAAGCGTATGTATCCCCTCCTCCTCTGTGCTCGACGACGCCTCTACACGGTGCTGCTCGACATCCACCAGCCATGCGTGTGCATCGTAAGATTTTCGTCTACGTCCTGCTGTTTGCCGGTCTTTGCTTCCTCCATAATAGCAGCATCTTTGCTTCCTTGTGCTTGCCGGTCTTTGCTTCCTCCATAACAGCACCATCTTTGCTTCCTTGCCAGTCGGAGCAGCAGGCTGAGCTTGGCGGTGGACAAGGAGATCGATGAACAAGAGAGAAGATATGGAGTGAGATGGGAGATGAAGGAAGAAGAAGAGGGTAGTTTAATTTAGTCCTAAAAAAATAGAAAATGTAGAGAAAAGCTATGTAGTGGCATAGCTCTAATATTTGTGAAATTATAATGATACGGTTACAAATAGGTAAATATGAATGGTATATTTCAAAACCATTAAATTTATAATAGCATGATCCAAATATCCAATTAACCCAAAAAAGTATGCTACAAGCACATGCGTTGACCCAACAAGTTGGGAGTCCTTGCGCAAGTTAAAAATTAATTCTTTGAATCTCGAGGCCAACCGATGGTCAATAATTTGAAAGTTTTAGGATAGAAAAAAAAACTATCAATAGTTTTCTAGCAATTCTGAATTGAAAGGAGTCTTGGTAGAAAATGAAAAACAAGCTTTGCAAGTTGTTGTAGGAACACACCGGACATGCTGCGGAAGGGTGTTTGGTTTGCCGCGTTTTAGTTTCACTCATGAAAATCAGCCTCCCAAGTGAGTCTAACCCATTGTAAACACGAGAATTGACCTTCTCTCCTAATCCAAATTTAAGCTCGTGCAGGCATGGTGGTGGTAGGTGCAACATGGGTGCACAAGGTGAGAGGAGAGGGCTCATGCACCTCCCCCTCCTACATTTGATTCCATGCGCACCGATTCACTGTCATCTTCATTGATGCACGCTCATTGTCATTGTTCCTCCCTCATCATATAGCTGCCGTCTTTGCCTCCTTGGCACCTGTCCTGCTTGCCCGCCCAGCTAGATCTAACTTGGATTAAAACCTCCACGAGCCTTGTCGAATACACTCATGTAGGAGTGTCTCGTATCTATAATATTGAAATTTAACTACACAATTATGCCAATGTGAGTATTAATTTTTTTTAGAAAAGAGTATTAGGTGGTTCTAAGGACTTATATCGAAGAAAACATTTTTTCAGTGATTGCTTTGCCCCTCCCTAAAAAAGACCTTAGGACCAAAGTAAACCATTAAAATAAGAGTAAGTTGTATTTTGCACCAGATAAAGTGTATGTTGTTTCACTTTACACTAGGTTTAGGACATGCTTTTACTTTGCACCTGTGTCCATTGATTTAAGTTTCACTTAACATGATACATCATAATATATATATGATTTCCATGACGTTTCATAAATTTTGAATAAATCTTCATCAAACATAGTCTAAATTCAAAGGGTTTTATAATTTTCCTCATATTTTACTAGATTTCTTTTCAATGATATGATGCACCACCTCGTGCAAAATGAAACTTATTTTAATATTCCCTAATGTAAAATGAAACTATGTACCACCTCCATCTCAAAATTTAAAAATTTAGAACTAAAAAGAACATTTTCTAGTATAATATATATGAATAGGTAATTCATCATATATATTGTACTAGAAACAAGGTGCACTCTACCCTCTGTATTGTGCAATTTATTCTGAACTCAACCGAGTGAGGGGGCTGAGAGCAAAGCAAAAATATCCGAAGCACCGAAACTGCCTCTTCTCCGAACATTCTAGACTCCAGATTCCCGGTCTTATCAGCGCGCTACTGTCCAGCCCACAAGACAACAACAACACTGATCCTATCCTGATCCACGAGACCTCCAACGGCTCGGATCCAACCCCCAGCATCCAACGGACGGTCCAGATCTCTCCAGCGCACACAGACCGTGCATCGATCCCGTCCCCAAAAATTCCCATCCTTTTTCCGCCCACAGATTTGGTCACACAGATCCGGACGGAGGAGGAAAAAAAACCAAGTAGCCCCTCGATTTTTGATCGGATCATTTGTAAATCCACACTGCCACTCCCAAATTCGCCCGAATTATCCGATAATTTTTTGCGGATTTTGAGCTCTCCCTGTCATTTTCTGTCATTTAGTGCGTGGAATTTTTGATCGCTTTCGAGGCTTTTCTTGTTGCGTCTGTGTTGGAGCGGAGAAATTTTTGACCCCTTTTTGTTACTCTCTTGAAGTTTTGATTTGATCCGCTCGGAAATTTGATCTTCTTTTGTGTTCGGAACTCGGATTTTTGAGGGGGTTTTGGTCTTGGCGGCTGCTTGGGGTGTGAGATCCCTCAAGCTGGCGAAGCGAATCAGCCGTGTCCATGGAGATGCACGCGAGCTCTGTCTCTTCCCATGGCGAGGCCCGGCTCGGCGGCGAGCGGGGGCTCGTGGACCGGGAGGAGCTGGTGCGCGTCATCGCGCAGTCGCTCTACTCGCTCGGTTACCGGAGGGCGGCCGCGGCGCTGGAGGCGGAGTCCGGCATGCCGCTGTACCCGGCGGAGCACGACCGCCTCCTGTTCGACGTAATGTCTGGCCGGTGGGACGCGTGCGTGGCGGCGATCCGCGCCGTGGCGGGCCTCGGGGACCGGGAGCGCGCGGCGGCGGAGTTCTTGGTGTGGAGGGGGCACTTCCTGGAGCTTCTGGGGATCGGCGACGCTGGGCTGCCGCGCGCCAGGGAGGTGCTCTGGCGCCGGATTGCGCCCCTCGGCGTTGACAGGGAGTGTGTGCACTGGCTGGCACGCGCAATGGTCTCGTGCGAGGGGGCGGTCGCGCCGGATGCCGTGGTCGGGTGGAGGATTGGGCTTTTCTTGGATCTGGTTGATGCTTTCCCGCCATGGTTCCATGTGCCAAGCGGTCGGCTAGAGCTTCTGGTGGAGAATGCAGTTGTTAAGCAGGTTTCGTCTTGTGTATATCACAATTTACCGGACGAGGTCACTTTGTTTGAGGATCATAAGTGCCCTGAAGAGCAGATTCCTTCCAAGTGTTCGCAGGTGCGAGTTTAAATTGTTGATTTGTATTACCAGTTTTGCACAAACACCCCAGTTATAAGGTTTATAAGTATGTGAAATCAGATCAATTTCAAAAACTAGAGCCGACAATGTACAATTTTTATGCTGGCAATTGTTCTGACTAGTTTTCAGAACGTACTTCTGTATGGTTATCTAACTCAGTAACTCGAATATTCACTGTAATTTTTTCAATATATATGCAGCTTTTATCCTTTCCGTGCCAATGTTTGGAAGCATAAAATTATCATGCTACCGGGAGACACTACTCTTCAAAAGTACTGCATATTCTCTAGCCCCAGTGAGGCAGGGATTTGCATTATTTAAGAGTCTTTGCACTTGAAATCTCGGTTTTGTTTTGAAAGATAGAAACACTGTAAACAGCACCACTTCAAACCTTTCTTTTCTACTCTGCTTTCAAACTATGTTTTATCTGCTTGTGTAGAGGTCTTCTGTGGAGTTCTGATTTTTCAAATTCTGTTATATTCTAAAAGAAATGATCATAACTTGAGATACTTCAAAACCAATGATAATAATGTTATTAGATTCTTTTTTAGCCAAGAGGGGATTACTATTCAGGTAAACTCATTTATGTATTCTTTCAGGGATCTATAGCACTAGACAAGTTTCATGCTTGGGGGCGGGGACTATAGTCCGAAGATGGATATTTGACACATCCATGCCTGTTTGCAGATATTATGTGGTCATAACAATGAAGTTTGGTTTGTAAGGTTCTCAAATGATGGAAACTATCTGGCATCATCTTCAAGTGATTGCACGGCCATCATATGGAAGGTATGCCTTTCACCAAAGCAGCTGTTAACAATGCTTTTCACTATTGTTGTTTCAGAATACGACTTACAACTTGGTCTTCTTAACTCTAATGGTTATAAGTCAACTCGTTTTTAATATATAAAATATCTTATAACTTTAACCACTTCTGGACCACAACATTCAGACTAACTCCATGCAAAACATAGCATGCATTCCACATGACCCATCCTCCATAATCCATACTTGGTAATGGTTTAACTCACATAGAGAAAGCTATTGGAGAACAGAACAAGCCATGCATTCCACTTAACCCATCTTCCATAATCCATACTTGGTAATGGTTTAACTCACATAGAGAAAGCTATTGGAGAACAGAACAAGCCTGATTGATTAGAGAATGCAACATCCCTCAATCTAGCCTTGTGCCAAAGTGTGATATAGACTCCCCAATTCCTGTTGCTGCTAATCTTCTCTTGTACCTCCATCAAAGCTCTTTTCCCTCTCCACCATAGGAAGAGGAATGGAGGAAAGGAGAAGAAGCTTGAAGTTTCCAATAATGTGGGCCAGCAACTATTGACTGAGGTATGACTGTCTTTTCGGGAAAAAAACATCTGACAGCTTCCAATGACTTAACGGCAGCTGAAACTAACAGGTTTAATGGGAGTGGTGCAAAAAGGATAAATGTTGAAACTTAGTGGTATGGAAGAAAACATAAATTTCTAGTGCTATAAGATATTTTATAGAAAGTATATGCCTTTTATACGATACGTGCAATCATACATTTTAAACTTTGTCCACTGATGAGCGGAGCTATTTTTCCCCTGTGAAACTGACACATATACTTTATGAGAAATCCCTTCATAATGTAAATCTTTATTTATTAAAAATGTTACCAGAAAAATTTGATATGAATTTTTAAGTATTGGATACTATGGTAAATGTCTGAAATGCCAAATAGGGGTAAGCTTAAAGTGCATTTCCTGCCAGTCACCACATACAACTTATGTCCACGGAAAAGTTTATCAATGATGCTCGTGAAAGGTCATATATATATATACCTGTCTTCATTTGTAATTGGACTTTATTTGTACAAGTCGAGCTCGGGCAGAATTTGTTTTTACATCTTAGTCCACAAATTGATGACATTGTACAGTCCTTGTGTACACATTTGAAGATGTGGTACATGCCTAAAAGTGTTGTTAATTTTCCATGTTCTAGTAATCACAGAGGCCACATATTCTAAGCTAGATGGGAGATGTTTTTTAAGTATGTGAATGGGAAAATCCATTCGTTAGTAGGTGAAGGCACCTCTGAGGTGGGGTATTACAGCTGTTCTAAAGTTACAAAGGATGACAGATAATATGCATTCTTTAACTATCGTTTGGCTAAAATCATTTTTTTTCCTTCTCTTCCTTGCTGTTTCTTACTGGCAAGTGGCAACCCAGGTTTGATGGTTCATAATCATTTGTTTCCTTGCTTTACAACTCCAAATTCTTGTCATGCCTAACCCCCAAAGATGATTTTAGGTGGAAGAGGATGATACATTAACCAAGAAGCACTGCCTCGTGGGTCACAAAAATCCAATTTCTTTTGTTGCCTGGAGCCCAAATGACAGAATGCTGCTCACTTGTGGTAATGGAGAATCAGTAAAACTGTGGAACGTTGCTACTGGTGAATGCAGTCTTAAATTTAGCAGCTCAGTTGGCCATATTATCAATTCATGTGCATGGTTCCCTAATTCGGAGAAAATAGTATGTGCCAGCTGTGAGCCTGAAAGTTCTCCAAAGAGGATCTTCACTTGTGACCTAGAAGGTCAAGAACTGGAATCATGGGTTGGAGATAGAATACCTAAAGTCAGTGATATAGCTGTGACTCCTGATAGCAAACATCTTATCTGTGTATGTTCCAATGAAATTTGGATTCGAGAACTTCCAAAGGGGCGGGAATGGAGAATACGTGAGCAGCAGACGATTTCGTCGCTATCTCTCTCTGGTGATGGACAATCACTGATTGTCAACCTCAACAGCCAGGAAATTCATTTGTGGAGAATCAGTGAAAGTTCTACTGCGGCGGATAATAAATTCAAGGGACACAAGCAAGGAAAGTTTGTGATTAGATCTTGCTTTGGTGGATCAAACTCTCTGTTCATAGCTAGTGGCAGTGAGGATTCCCAGGTATAGCTTTCTTATGGAATTTAATATTGCATTTGGCCTTAGCTGCCTCGTCCTGACTTTTTTCGTAGATCATATGATTGTATATACATATACAACATAACCACCCTCCCAAGCATAAGCGTACATTGAGAATAAGGAGTGGCGCATATAGAGCAGCGGTACCTTGTAACTTGGTTCTTGGTACTCTTTCAAGGTTCCTGTTCTATGAGGAAACATTGTAAACATTGCAGGCTCACTGATAATGTCCACATGGCCTCTTTAACATAGCACTAAACCTTACATTCAATTCTGGCTTAACTGAAATATCAATAATGTTGAAGGTCCTACTAGGTTGATTAGCATTGTTTGGTTTGCGGTCCTTAATTTATCTGAAAATAGATTTGCTCTTGTTAACTCCGCAGTGTGTTTGATAGTTGACATTTCCTAGTGGAGGCACATAATTCACATCGTTAGGCATGGACCTATGTACAAGATTCTGTGAACAGCAAAAATAAACTGAAATTAGCTAGTACATGGATTTCTGCTCTTGTCAAGCCTTTTCCATCTTTTTGATGTGCCAAAATGATGACAGGTCTACATTTGGAAAAGGCACCTGGAGACGCCAATAAAGGTCTTATACGGTCATTCACTTACTGTAAATTGTGTGAGCTGGAATCCTGCTAAGCCACATATGCTGGCTTCGGCAAGTGATGACCGCACAGTTCGGATTTGGCTAGCACACAAAGGCTCACATCGCACACGGTTGACGGCTTGATGTGGAAAGTTTTGTATGTTTTCCTTGTAAATATATAGTTGTACATCTTGACTGTAGTAGTGTAGTGTGCACAGAGCAGTTGAGATTTTTTTTCCCCGTAGAGCTTTTAGCTACTTCAGAGGTAAACTTTGAACAGGCAGAGGCCCAGAAGTAGCAGTATACTTCATATATATGCCTGTCTCGGATTAAAGTTTTGCTCGTCTACTCTGTAAAGAATCAAAGATGCATCAGAATTCAGAACCTTGTATATTTTTGTGAGTTGCTACTCATTGGTATTGATATGTCTGGATGACTGGATGGATTCCTCCTGCTTGTGTAGATTCAGTGCTGATGAACGTGTTTTGCAATTCTGTTTCTAGTTGGCAATGCTTTGGTTTTTGGTTTGGGAATTGAAATGCCATTTCCCAAGGATTGAAATGGTGTATGTAACTTAAAGAATATGCTGATGCAGCTGCACTGGGAATTGTTGTCCTTGCAGAAATCAGGTATTTTGTTTCGTTTAGCAGCTACGGCTTTGTGAACTCTGGCTCCATGCTGTCACCTGCCATTGCAAGTTTGCAACAAGGGAAGCAACGACAGCTTTCAAATCTGTGGTGAAAATAGACGTGGTAGCAACTAGCAACTCTAATTTCAGTTGCCTGATTTATATTCATGATTAACAACTTTATAAAACATAATCAGACATAAAGACACATTATTATACTCCAGCAAAATCAGATCCACTTAACTAGTCAACCCATAAACACGATTACAATACTCCACCAAATCGATGGTTCGAGACTAATTCGCAGAAACCCGGTGACTTGTTTAGGACCCTAATGAACGCGTTCAACGCGGTGCATACGCGAACGCAATTCCAACGACGAGTCAAGAACACATTTTCGTCCAATCAAAATGATTCATCAAATCCTACACGTTGGTGGGTTGCCGCCACACCAAGGAGGGTTTTTTTCTCGGTCAAAGCCTCGCGGCGGGCGGCATGGACAGCGCCCCGTGCGGCATCTGCCATGGCGACATGCGCCGCGGCGGCCGCGGCGGCGGCGACGCCGTGTTCACGGCGGAGTGCTCGCACCAGTTCCACTTCCACTGCATCTCCGGCACCGTCGCGCGCGGACGCATCGCCTGCCCGCTCTGCCACGCGCGGTGGCGCGAGCTCCCGTCGTTCCGCCGCGGCAACGACGCGGCGCCGCCGGGCGCGTCCGCGTCGGCGTCGGCGTCGGCGGCGCAGCCGTTCTTTCGGCCTGTGGAGCCACGGGTGTTCGACGACGACGAGCCGCTGGTCCGCGCGCCGAGGCGTCTCGGGGAGCGGAGGCACGGCGGCGGCGCGGCGAGCGTGGCGTCGGATGGTGGTGGTGGGTCGGCGGTGGCGCTCGCGACGCACTGTGAGAACTCGGCCGTGGCGAGGGACGCGTGTCGAGAGGACTTCGCGGTGCTCGTCCACGCCAGGGCTCCTACGGGCGGTGGCGGCGGCGCCGCCGCCGAGGCGCAGCGGGCGCCGCTCGACCTGGTGACCGTGCTCGACGTGAGCGGGAGCATGGTGGGGAACAAGCTGGCGCTGCTGAAGCAGGCCATGGGGTTCGTCATCGACAACCTCGGCCCCGGCGACCGCCTCTGCGTCATCTCCTTCTCCTCCGGCGCGAGCCGCCTGATGCGGCTGTCGCGCATGACCGACGCCGGCAAGGCCCACGCGAAGCGCGCCGTGGGGTCCCTCTCGGCGCGCGGCGGCACCAACATCGGGGCGGCGCTCCGCAAGGCCGCCAAGGTGCTCGACGACCGGCTCTACCGGAACGCCGTCGAGAGCGTCATCCTCCTCTCCGACGGCCAGGACACGTACACCGTGCCGCCGCGCGGCGGCTACGACCGCGACGCCAACTACGACGCGCTCGTGCCGCCGTCCTTGGTGCGCGCCGACGCCGGCGGCGGCGGCGGCCGCGCCCCGCCGGTCCACACGTTCGGCTTCGGCAAGGACCACGACGCGGCGGCGATGCACACCATCGCCGAGGTCACCGGCGGCACGTTCTCCTTCATCGAGAACGAGGCGGCCATCCAGGACGGGTTCGCGCAGTGCATCGGTGGCCTCCTCTCCGTCGCCGTGCAGGAGCTCCGCCTCGACGTCGCGTGCGTGGACACGGGCGTCCGCGTCACGGCGGTCAAGTCCGGCCGCTACAAGAGCCACATCGAAGACGACGGCCGCGCCGCCAAGGTCGACGTCGGCGAGCTCTACGCCGACGAGGAGAGGAGCTTCCTGCTGTTCGTCGTCGTCCCGAGAGCCCCCGCCTGGGATGACGTCACCCACCTGATCGAAGTAAGCTGCTCTTACCGAGACATGGAGACCGGACGGACCACGAGCGTGGCCGGCGACGAGGAGGCGGTGGTGCTCAGGCCGTCGCGGGCGGAGTCCGGCGTCGCCGAGCGCTCCGTGGAGGTGGACCGGGAGCTTGTCCGGGTGGAAGCCATCGACGACATCGCGCTGGCGCGGGCGGCGGCGGAGCGCGGCGAGTACGCGGAGGCGGCGGAGATCCTCCGGAGCAGGCAGCGCGCGGTGGCGCGGTCCGCCGCGGCGCGCGCCGGGGACGCCATGTGCGCGGCGCTGTCCGGGGAGCTGCGGGAGATGCGCGCCCGCGTGGCGGACCGGCGGCAGTACGAGCTGTCCGGGCGCGCGTACGTGCTCGCCGGGCTGAGCTCGCACGCGCAGCAGCGCGCCACGTCGAGGCAGATGTCCGGCGAGGTGGCGCCGCGCCGCCACGCTCACGGCGGAGGCGGGGGATCGTCGGAGCTCCCGACGGGGATCACCGTGTCGTACGTGACGCCGGCGATGCTGGACATGCTCGACCGGTCGCGCAGGTCGCGGGAGCTGACGCGGCCGCCGCCGCCGCCGCCGCAGCAGCAGCAGCGGGACAGGGAGAGGAGAAGAAGCTAGAACGGACGAACACCTCCCGTGCACCATGTCACACCTATTGTAAATATATCGTGGTAAACATTGCAACAAGGAAGTTTTGTTGTGTTGCAACATTTTTGTGTTGGTGATGTTGTAGCCATCACGTGATCTCACGTGCCAAAGGAAAAAAAACCGTTGTCAAATGTTATGTGCCTAGCCTAATGTAATTTTTCAACCTCGACGCACCTGAGGAGTTGAGGGGTAGAGGACGATAGCCCCTGCCACCAGGGTTTCACACTGAATTAGCCGGGTTGATCATAATTAACATGCCATGTCACTATGTCAGTCGGAACTAGACACAATAGTACAATACTGTTCCTGACCTCTAGTTATATTTGGTTTTGCGGTTAAGAGTGATTTAAACTCGATGTCAACATGAGGACCTAAAGTGAACTTACTCCAATCCGATTGGTCCCCTATCTTGGCACAAAAACGTCTATGGGCCAGGAACGTGGTACATCCAAACAAGGCCTAAAATTTAATTGAGAGTGTTATGAGTGGAGATACGTGTTAATTGGAATGTTCTCTTCAGTTAATTCCTTGAACTTAACTTTATTCAAAAAAAAAAAACAAACCTTGCACTTGAAGTGCACGGATGCTATCTATCTCCTTAATTGAAGTCGCCGCAGTTATAAAGACTCGCATCTATCGTTAGGGTTTCGCACGAGGAAGCTACCAGAGGTCCCAACTGTTCGTCACTTCGTCGTACGGTCGTACCCATGGAGAGAGAGACCGATCCGTGCGCCATCTGCCTCGGCGAGATCGCCGGCGGGCAGGCCATCTTCACGGCGGAGTGCTCCCACACCTTCCACAACCGCTGCATCGCCCGGAACGTCGCGCACGGCCGCCGCGTCTGCCCGCTCTGCAACGCGCGCTGGAGCGACGTGCCGGCGCTGTCCTCGTCGTCGGCCGCGGCGGTGGAGCCTGATGACGACGACGAGCCTCCCCTGTACGCCGACGACGATCCGGTGGAGCCGGCCGGCGAGCAGGCGGCGGCGACTGACGGCGATGCCGCGGCTGGATTGGTGGTCAAGGCGCACTGCGAGTACCCGGCCGTGGCGAGGGGCGCGTCCCGGGACAAGTTCGCCGTGCTCGTGCACGCCAAGGCGGCCGGGGCCGCGGCGGCGGCGGCGTCGCGCGCGCCGCTCGACCTCGTGACGGTGCTCGACGTGAGCGGGAGCATGGCGGGGAGGAAGCTGGCGTTGGTGAAGAAGGCCATGGGGTTCGTCATCGACAACCTCGGCCCCGCCGACCGCCTCTGCGTCGTCTCCTTCTCGACTGAGGCGAGCCGCCGGACGCGGCTCCTCCGCATGTCGGAGGTCGGGAAGGCCACGGCGAAGCGCGCCGTCGAGTCCCTCGTCGATGACTCCGCCACGAACATCGGCGACGGCCTCCGCGTGGCCGGCCGCGTTCTCGGCGACCGCCGGCACAAGAACGCCGTCTCGAGCGTCATCCTCCTGTCCGACGGGAAGGACTCGTACGTCGTCCCGAGGCGCGGCAATGGCATGAGTTACATGGACCTCGTGCCGCCTTCGTTCGCGTCTTCCGGCGGCCGCGGCCAGCTCGCGCCGATCCACACGTTCGGCTTCGGCGCCGACCACGACGCGGCGGCGATGAACACCATCGCGGAGTCGACGGGCGGCACGTTCTCCTTCGTCGAGAACGAGGCGGCCATCCAGGACTCGTTCGCGCAGTGCATCGGAGGGCTCCTTTCCGTCGCCGTGCAGGACGCGCGCATCGCCGTGGCGTGCTCGAGCCCGGGCGTGCTCGTCCGGGAGATCAAGTCGGGGCGCTACGAGAGCCGCGTCGACGCGGACGGCCGCGCCGCGTCGGTCGAAGTCGGCGAGCTCTACGCCGACGAGGAGCGGCGCTTCCTCCTGTTCATCAACGTGCCGATCGCCGAAGCCACGGAGGACGCCACCCAGCTGATCAAGCTCAGCTGCACGTACCGCGACACGGTGACCGGGCGAACCATCGACGTCGCCGCCGGCGAGGACGCCGTCGTGAGGCGGCCCCTGGAAGTGTCCGCGGCGGACCAGGAGGTGTCCATGGAGGTGGAACGGGAGCGCGTGCGCGTGGAGGCAACCGAGGACATCGCGATCGCGCGGGCGGCGGCCGAGCGCGGCGACCACGCCGAGGCGGCGCGGACGCTCCAGCTTCGCCGGGAGGCGGTGGAGGCGTCGGCGCCGGGGTTCGCCGGCGACGTGATGTGCGACGAGCTGGCGGACGACCTGTGCGAGCTCGAGGAGGAGGTGGAGGACGCGCCGCGGTACGAGCGCGCCGGCCGCGCGCGCATGCTCGCCGGCATGAGCTCGCACGGACTGCAGCGCGCGTCGGGGACGACGTACAACTCCTCCAGAAGGAAGCAATGCGCACGCAAGGAGAGGGCGAAGGAGAGGTTATACGCGACGCCGGCAATGGGGATGATGGTCTCCAAGTCGCGCGACGAGCCGCCGCCGGCAGCGCAGCGGCAGCAGAAGGGGCCAGGCCGCGGCGGCGACGAGCAGTCGGAGAAGAAGAAGAAGAAGAGTGGAGACTGATGCGAAGTTGAAGCTGAAGCTGTGACACTTTGCTATCAAAATATTAATTAGTAGTAAGACTAGTAGTGTTATTAGAGTGATCGTTTTGTATTAATTAGGGGATCTTATTTATGTTTGCTCCTTGATCGTACGTGTTCTATAGGGTTGAGATGAGATAATTGCTGGTCCACTGGTGAGATTTTGCAGTGTAAGATTTGCGTAATTCCAAATTTACTAGAGTTTTGATCATGGTGTTAAAGAAAACTACGGTTCTGAATTTACCTGCAATTCAATGCTATTCTACCTTCTGGGAATTAAAATCGTATGGATGAGTTAATTATTTGTAAGTAAATTTCTTTTACTCTGATATATTAAGTTCCCTACTGGTGTTCCCTCTTTGTTTACAAATCTTAATGAACGAAGGATCTCGTTTTGTCTCTCTTTGCTGCGCAATGAATCTCTCTGTGCAACCTTAATTCATCCTAAATGAATAGCATCTTAACGTGAACTTAAGAGTTAGACAATTTTGAAAGATCTATGCACTAGAATTGCCTTGTAAGGGGAGATTGGAATATCTATGATCCTAAGAGTGCGGTGATTGTTTTGGTGATTAATGACAACCCATTGTTGGAACTAACTATTTCCATGAGTTGGTGAGATTAGGTTAAGTTCCGGCATCAAGTTAAAAGATTGAAGCTAGAAGATGGACATTATACCTTAATGAGTAGCAAGTGAAGACATTGATGATGCGGGGTATGAAATGGCTATCTATGGCAAACCGGTGAAGAGAAAGCAAGGCTCGGCTAGAAGATGGACATTATACCTTGATGAGGAGCAAGTGAAGACATTGATGATGCGGGGTATGAAGTGGTTATTTATGGCAAAACGGTGAAGGGCAAGCAAGGCTCGGCTATAATGGACCATGCGGGGGGTGAAGGGCAAGCAAGAGGCTTGGCGCCGATGGACCGAATCCGGTGGTGAAGGGCGAGTGAAGGCTTTTGTCATGATGGTCATGATGGACCGTGCGAGGCCATTTGAAGTTATGAGTAATCCGTATCAATTATAAGAAGACCGCAAGATGGAATGCCGAGGATCAAGAGGATGTGGTTCTTCGATGAACATCAAGTCAAAATCCAAAGTGGGCATTGATCAAGGCAAAGATATAATTGATTTGGGACTAATATGCTTAATGAGTGTAGGTGAGAATAGTCTTAATAGTGAAATGGCGTTGACGTTGAGAACCCTCAAGGTGAAGCAAGAAGATGACATTCCTAGTGGTGTATTAGTCCCAGGTTGCTTAGGAGTGGGCTAGGATGCTTGGAGACCCCCCCAAATCATCAAAATCAAAGCGGCGAGAAGACTCGGGGCCGAGTTAGACTAGTTTACTTTTTCGCTTTGAATTTAGGAAAAGCCGTTCTATTAAGAGGGGTTCCAAGTGTGGTTCTGAGATAACACAAGTGCTCTTAGTAGTGTCCAAGTGTTGAAATATTTTTAGGAGCTGTTTTTGAAAATGGCTCTACTTGGGACAGAGAGTCCCACCCGGAGGTTCTGTCCAGAACTTCCTGGCGCTGAGGTGAGGTTGAAAATTTTCCTAAGTGTTACCCGGAAGTTCCTGGCACCCAGGCCCGGAACCTCCTGGCAACCCTCCAGTTCAAATATGTGAGTAACGGCTAGATGACGTCACCTAGCCGTTATATTTAGCCAACTCGACCCCAGCTCATTCTTTAGCCATTCCACTTTAGTTCTTGTGTTCCCTAGCTTGTTCTAGCCTCTCCCAATGTAAGTTTGCTTCCTCCACCCAAATCTTGTGCACTTATTGAGTGAGAGAGTGAATTTGAGGGTGGTGGTGAGGATTGGAGAAGGTTTTGAAGGATAGGATGACTTGAGCACTTGGTGTATCTCGTTGGGCTATCACTTGAAGCTTGTTACTCTTGGAGGGTGACCTTCTAGATGGTTAGGTGTCGCCCGCGAGTTTCCAACAATGTTGTGGATTGACCCGGGCAAGTTTGTGAGGGCGTTATTCCACCTCTGAAAGGAAACGGAATACTCAGTGAGTGGAATCCGAGGTGAGGTTTAGGAGGTCGTCTTGGTAGAGCAAGCCTCACTTGTGGTGTTCTTTTGGTGTTCAAGTTGGGGATCTTAGTGGTCACTTGAAACCAAAGAGAAGTACCTAGGGGTGTTGGCTCGAAGACCGGAGACCTTTTCCTAGGCCTTTTCTTGGTGAGGCAAGGGGTTAATCAAGACCTGGCTCTTTGGAGCTCCTCAACGGAGACGTAGGATTCTCGGTGGAGAATCCGAACTTCGGGAAACAAATCGTTTGTCTCCTCTCACTCTCTTTATCTTTGTGATTGTGATGCTTATCTCCTTATTTGCCTAGTTGTGCTATCATGTCTCCCATTGTATGATCACTTGTACTATCTTGTGTATTTTCATGTGTATTACTCTTGTTTGAGACATGTTGTACCTCTCTATGGTTTAGGCTTCCTTGTGATTTAATTTTGTGAGGTGCTTGAAATAGCAATTCACAACTGCCCGGAAGTTCCTAGGAAGAACCCCGGAAGTTCCGGGCAGCTTTCTCTGCTTGTGAGAAAAAGCTGCCAGGAAGTTCCGGACCTTTTGCCAGGAAGTTCCGGGCCCTGATTTTAACCGCTGCGATTTGAAGTAAATTTTAGGCGTGCCTATTCACCACCCCTCTCTAGGCGACATCAAGGCCCTTTCAAATTTGACATGGTGGAATGAAAAATAGGTGTTTTTTCTCTGTGATAAAAACAACTTTTAAGTCAGACATAGACTCGCAGTAAAAGTTGAGCTGAAAGATAAATAGATAATCAAGAGTGCCAATCTTAAATTAGCTGAGAACATATAACTACACGATAAAGTTTTTGATTTGGTGGACCCAAAGAAGACGTCGGTCTTTTCTTCTTTTTTTAAGGGAATGTCGGTCAAATTTATGATACGTAGAAGGAACAAAAAATTATAAACATCGCACGAGTATAGAAATGCGGAGCCCCTAAGAAAGAGGGCTCCACTCTCCATTCTAAATTGTATTGGTCCAATGTACCGGGACCCGATTGTGAACAAATAACTTAGATGAAGTAGTCAATCTAATATAGACAAAAATAGCATTAACGCGTTTAGGAAGAATCAATTGTGTTAAGAATAGCAATACACTTATCACTAGGCTAGTGACGGAACGACAATCAATTCTTATTAAGATTATAGCTGGCAGTACATTTATTTAGTTTTATTATATTTATGACAAACAAAAATATGATGACATAGTTGGTGATAGATGAGTCCACTCTTTACGGTTTAAAATATTAAATGTTGTGAGTTTTACATGTTTGTCCCTACTCTCCGTCTACTAAGATGGTTCGAGCAATGATCTTGACAATAAACTTTCACGATGAAGTTGGGAAAGGACATCATATGATCATCTCATAAGTAAACCCTGCATTGGTTTTTTTAAAAAAGGTGGTAATGCTAAAGAGTGTGATAAGATGACATGTACTATCTTATTAACTTATCATGAAAATTACATCCACAAAAACCCCTAACAAAACAAAGATTGCATGCCTTTTCACCCTTTTTAACTCCTGAATGACATGAGAAAAGGGTTCAAACATCAAGGTGAAAAAAGAACAACAATTATTAAGAATGATAGTTTTATATTAATTTAGGCATATAAATTATTAAGAGTGGCCGTTTTCTATTAATTTAGGGATTTTTTTTATGTTTGCTCCTTGATCCTAATTCTAGATAATTGCTGGTACACCTGGAGAGATTTTGCAATGTAAGATTGTGTAATTCCAAAGTAACTACTCTAAGAATTTTGATGGTGTTAAGAACCTGCAATTCAATGCTAGTTCTACGTGGGAATTAAATCATATGGAAGAGTTAATTATTTGTAATTAAATTCTTTTACTCTGTATATTAAGTTTGAACTTTGAAGGAAGCACCCCTCTTGGTGTGGCAAGTTTCCTTCTTTATATACATCATGAATGCACGATGGGCCTCGTTTTGTCTGTGTTTGTTGCTGAATGAATGATATCCTCTTGACATGAGCTTCAGAGAGCACAATAATAGCACATATGCTCTTTGTTTAATACCCGTGTGCTCCTGATAGAATTATAAAATTCAAGACAATGGATATAGCATGAGATAATTGTCAAACAGAACTGTGCAATTGATCAATGGATCAAACAGAACGATCCAAGAGGATCAATTGATGAAACAGAACTATCCAAGAGGTGTGTTGACTGTTGAGTGAAACATTTGGACATGGTGGAAGCAAGACAAGAATCTTCCCTACAGCAATTGTCAAGTGTTAATGTGGAACTGGAACATATGCCTCCTATGGTAAGCTGAAAGAAGATACTGTAGCTACAATTCTGAGTTTATTTCTTTGTAGGAGTTGCAGCAAGTAGCTGCAACACTGAGGGTATAAATAGATTTGATTGTCTTGAGTGAGACATTTTGGCATGGTGGAATGAAAAGAGAAAATCCCCTGTGTACCCTTGAAAGTTTACTCAATCCCTTCTATACCCCTGAGATTTGCTCATTCCCTTCCATACCCCCAAATTTCAGTTTGGATCCCTTCTATACCCCTTCCGTTAGTTGACCGTTAGTGGACCGTTAAATTCCTAAGATAAAGTCCATTTTGCCCTTAGATATCAAGAAAATATAACGTTACGAAGTATATAAATGGAGTGTAAAACTTCAAGTTTGTTTTGCGAGATATTATTTAACAAAAATAATATTTTAGTTTTGCCACAGCGAAGGCAACACAAAAATAATTTTTATTTATGACAAAATTTATTTTTAGAATATTCTTTACCATTAAAAACTGTATATATAACATATTTTGTAATAGTAGTACGACATTTTTATAAGATAAATCTATTGATGTGCTAAATAAGTAATTTTTAATAACTAATAAATAAATTTTATTTTTATGTCATATCTAAAATAAATTATCATAAATATTATTTATGACTTTGTTATGCAAGATATTATTTATGATAATTTTTTTGTTATGCAAGATAAAAATTATTTTTGTTAAATACAATCTCACAAAATAAACTCATAGATATAATAGTCGCATACAATATATTTATATTTATGTACTCGATCAATATACTTCATAAATTTATATTTTCTTCATATCAAAGGGTAAAATGGACTTTATGGTAGGAATTTAAGAGTCAACTAGCGAAAGGGGTATAGAAGGGATTCAAATTGAAATTTAGAGGTATGAAAGGGAATGAACAAATTTCAAGGGTATAAAAGGGATTGGGCAAACTTTTAGAGGTACACAGGGAATTTCCTCAATGAAAAATGGGTGTTCTTTTCTTTTCGATAAAACAACTAAAGTCAGTTTTCAAGTTGTGGTAAAAGTTGAGCTAAAGGTAATATGGAATGCCCAACTAAAATTGAGGATAAAAAAAACTAGGATGAAGTATTTTGATTTGCTGGACTGGCAAAACAAACATTGTCCGAATTTTATTACGATAGAAGAAAAAAAATATAAACGTCACACAGACATAAGTGTGCAATGAAACTATGGAGCCCCTAAGAAAGATGGCCTCTACTCTCCTTACTACCTAGTAACAACCCGATGTACCTGGACCTGATTGTGAACGAATAACTTAGATGAAGTAGTCAACCTAATGCAGACAAAAATAGCATTAACGCGTTTAGCAGGAATCAACAATGTCAAGACTGGCACTACATTTATCATCGGGCTAGCGATGGAACAACGACCAATTCTATTAAAACTATAGTTGGCAGTACATTTATGTGGTTTTACTGTATTTATAAAGCATACAAGAACGTGACAACATAGTTGCTGGCAGACGAGTCCGCTTGTTATGATATTAAATCATGTGTAAATGTTGTGAGGTTTACATGTTTACCCCTACTCTCTGTCTACTAGCTAGGTGGCTCGAGCAATGATCTTTGACGATAAACTTTTTACGACAAAGTCGAGGAAGGACATCATAGAATCATCTGACAAGTGAACCCTGTGAATAATTTTAAAAAGAAATAATGCTAAAGAGTGTGCTAATATGATTATGTACTACTAGTATCTTATTAACTTACCAGGAAATTACATGCACAAACCCCTAACCAAACAAAGATTATCATGCCTTTTCACCCTTTTTATAACTCACACAAAAAGATAAGTGATTGAATGACATGAGGAAAATGTCTCGAACACAAAAGGTTACTAAGTGACATGATAAAAATGGCTCAAACACAAGGTGGGAGAAAAAAAAACAATTTACTATACAATCCAAATTCCAAAAACCACAAAAAAAAACATTCTTTACTCGTACTCCTTTTCATAGCGAGGGGCAAAGTGGGAACAAGTCAAAACACCCACAGATTCCTCCCCCGCTCGCCTCTCTCCCCCG